AGTTCCCGGGCTGGGGCTTGAAGAAGGACAGGCCGTATGACGTCTCCTTGGTCCCGTAGGAGAACTGGAAGCTGAGTTTCTCAGCTCGACCGAACACGTTAGGTAACTTCACACCCAGCACCTGAAAGACCAAACCAATACTATGAAGCCACCATGTTCTGTGAACATTTCTGTTTCACTGTAAAAGCAGCCTGTGTCCAGTTTCATCCAATGTTATTAACTTGTTACAATATCCTCTTTTCTGCTGTGGCATGTCGAAAGCCTATTTTCTATAAATATTAAAAAATACATTTTCTGTTGTTACTAGAACTAAAACGGTTTCCTTAATAATCTACCTTCATCGAATAATCATTACATCTCTAATCTAACGGAATAAGCTTTACATGCCCAAGATCTGATCCTGACACCTATAACATAACCAATATAACATAAACCTTATTTCTTATTCTGAATATAAAAGTGTAGTAAGGAAAGGAAATTAAAAAAGGTTCTGGCTTTTTGTGCCATAGTTAAAATAATCTGACAGACGGACTGCAATAAATCCTGATTTAAGTGATTAAAATGCCCACTGGCCCTATAACCTAAGTTGACAATTGTATCACCTTGTATCAATTATCTTATTGAATAGTGCTCCATCCATAGCCAATAAAGTGACAAATATGACTAACATGAATTATATGCAAGTGTTGTTTCTCTCACCATGCTTCCTTCATTGTTGCCAACCATGGTGTTGTAGCTTCCTGTCAGCCTCTTTACCTCCGTCACTTCAAAAGTTACATCCAGACCGTTGGGCAAGGCGTCTGAACCTGGGGAAGAGAACCAATCAGGAGGAAGAAGGTGTGTTACAGCTATTATTCAATAAATTGTTTGTTTTTGTGGCGGTATTTTTTATTACAAGGTCGGAATGAGTTACCTTCAGATGTATCGATAAGAACCTCCACCTCTTTGAAGATTCCCAGGCGGAGAAGCTTCTGTCTGGCGATGTGAGATTTTTTCATCACCTGTAACCGAAAAAGAAACAGAGCTTTGCAACTTCTCCAATACTGAAACTGAGTGCTATCATTCCTTAATGTACTCAGTAATAAATACGTACATCAATGAGGTTTTTTGCGTGGAAAACTTCAGAGATCTCATAGCCGAGCAGATCCTCTTTAGTTCTTCCAAGACCTTGGACGTTAACATGTTGGACGACCACCTGCAAAAATAGGTTTTACCTGGATTACTCCAACATAACCATCGTATACAAATGCAGACACATGCATGTAGCTGCAGGTACTAAGACTGTGATAGCAATTCAAATCCATATTTGTTTCACTTGAGTTCTTTTACAGGTACTATTTATAAATACTTATATTTGTTTTTATCACAAAATCTAGTCTGATATTACTGCTACTTACAGCTTTGTTTTCGAGGATCTCCTGCTTGGATTCCTGCTCCGGTTCTGGAAGCTCGACCAAGTCATCAGGGTGGACGCCCAAATCTCGGCCATGCATCGGGAGAGGATCCAGACTCTGCAACCATGATAAGCACAATGCCTTTAAGTAACACTACATTAACAATGTAATGCAAAGTTAAAACAATTTATAAAAATCTCCCCAATAAACCTTCTTTGACTACAGAAGTTGAGCCAAACTCTAACTATATTTCCGAGTTTAAATTTGGTTTGTGTATCTAAAAGTCAGGTGAGACTTTTAAAATAATCTTAAAAGTCTGATACACTTAAAACAAGGAAGGTATGCATGGCACCTTTAAAAAGGACTGCTGTCATTGAGTCATTAGGTCAATGAGTGGGCCTTTAAAAGAGAGTATCTGATGTCCTGACAAGTGAAAGTCACTGCATGGGGAGTCAGTTTGGAAGGTGGTAAGGTAAGTAGGTTAAAGAAGCACATTTCTCAAATGAAAGACTGTGACAGTAAATTGAATCTATTTGTGGTGTTAATTACACATTATGAAACGGCTTTTAGTGATATTCTTGTATGAAAACTGTCTGAAAACACAAAACCACGTTAAAATACTACCACAAATCGTGGTTACAACGAGTTAGTTTGTCATACATATGATATCTAAATTAGAAAAATCCCGCCAGGCCTATATTGGTAACATTACGAGCATTTAAATGAGCTTCAGTCAAAGATACAGCTTTTCACCACATGCAGTTCCCCAGTACACACGTAATGTAACCAGACAGTATTCTTTATTGTTCGTCTTTATCCAGCTGTATTGAACAGTACATCGAGTACAAATGCTAGTGAGTCTGACTGGGCAGGGAGGTCATGGTAAAAAAAGGCACATAAAGGCCAGCTGCCAGGGATAATGGAGTTTACCTTAGCATGGACAGTCCCCATGGTTAATATCCGCTCCTAAAGGCCTCTTCAGTCGGGGTTACCTGCTCTGTAAACAGGAGAAAACTGATAAATGACAGCGGCTACTTTCTCCACTACCTATCCCCCTTCAAGGGAGACGCCATGACAGTTGATGAGATCTCGCGTTGCGTTCATGCACTCCTCGTTTTCTACGTGAACCTCAAGAGCTGTCTTTCATTCTAACCTCGTCACGTGGTTTTATAAATGTATTTTTATGTTTCCCGTATACAAGGTCATGCATATATAGCAGGGTGACAGGCAACAGTGCTGCTGGATACGTGGCTTTATAATGAGCAAGGAAGCAATGAGTGGAATTGGAATAAAAAGCTTCCAACTGAGATACAATTATAGAAGCTAGCAAATGCATTGCTTTTAAATGCATCATTCTGTCTTCTCTCTGTGATTGGTTAGAAATGAGAAATCATTGAAGTGGGCGGGACAGGCTCAGTCAGAGTCACGTTTTGAAGGAGCTCGTCCAGAAGATGGCGGTATTTGTCTACTTTCTCGTCGTCTTCACTTCAAAATGAACAGAAACTGGCAGCGTCTGAATAAAACACTCGTTAAGTGCACCTGAATTTGGAAAGAGAACAATTTTGGTGAGTTCCCAGACAGTTTCGGCCTTGTCTTTAAGTGTGGTTTTTGTTGTGGTTTGTTTAAATTAAAAATGGCGTCAATAAAAGTGTTACTAGACATAGCTAGAGGCTATATATACATTCAATATGAAAGAAAACTACTGAAATAATTTAACGACCTCATTCACTGTTCAAGTCTTTTAATTTACTTTTTTAAGTTTTTATTTTATTTTTGTAACTATTCATTTTTCGTTTGCATATAATGGCCTCAATAAAACAGCTACATTCACTATACACAACCTAAATCACTACCTAAACCATGAACTTCTTTCTTAGCTCAGGATGACAACAACGTGGAATATTGTTGTCCTTTAACTTTAACCTCATTTAAAAAGACTTAAAACAATGAGAATCCCCATATTTATTTTGACTGTTTTTAATCCTTAAAATAAACGAGTGTTTGGTGACCCCTGACCTATGGATTAACCTGGTGACCTATGGCCCCCATTGAGTGTGCCCCCACACACATTACCCCTACCTATTTTCTGCAAAGACCTATACACCAACTAGTGTTCCTGTAAAACTGCCCTGTCTGATGTTTGTCTGTCCAATTCATTCATTTCATTATATAAGGTGGTGCGCAGTAGCCTACAATGGGGGCAAAGCCCTATACAGATATATACAGCGCTGAATGGGGGTAATGCACTCCTGCACGTTCATGTCCCATCACTAGGTGTCAGTATTACTTAATTCTTAAAACTTCATTCGAGTAATGTTTCAGAAAAGTGCGTCAATAAGTGAATATGAATCTTGATAAACCCTGTTACTCCCTGAGTCTGTGCTTCTCAAATTGCCCTTTTGCTGTAATGACTACGTGATTCCCAAACTACGGCTTTTTGGACCTTCAGGGGTCCTTAGTTCGCACAGGGAATTATCATTTTGGAATTATGTTTAAATAGTGTAAAACAGCTACAATATGTAAAAGGATCCTTGCAGGATAATTAATATATGAAGTAAAATAAACACAATTCCTCTTTTGGTTTCCAACTTTTTTGGCTTATGACCCCAAGTCACAGACAGGTGCTCGACATCAGTTATGAACAGTTTGACTGTAGTTCATTTTCTCGTTTTAACAGTTTATATTTAAAGGGGACCTATCATGCAAAATGCACTTTTGTACGTCTTTTATACATGAATATGTGTTCCAGAGAACTCACCAAGTGTCAGAAAACACAACCCTCTCTATTTTCCTCCATACCCAAATCTCTAAAAAAGGGACTGCAACGGATCTGATAAAAACTGATCCAGATTTGAACACTGTCCTGACGTCAGGACAGTGGCGCTACGGCTATTGGGCCAACTCCACCAATCAGGAGGAGACAGCCACGGCGGCCATTGCCGTTCGATAGCGCTGGAGACGCTGTAGTACATATGCCAGGCATGTAGGTGGTGCTGTTCTCACAGAATCAGCCCTTGCAAAAACAGAGCTAAAAAAGTGCAAATTGAGCGAAATGAGGCATGGCTAAAATGCATGATCTGTTTGGTATTTTAAAAAACAAAAAGTATAAATATGCCTTATATAGGTATGTCCTACACTATATTATTCAAATATAGCATGATAGGTCCACTTTAAGGATTTTGCAGTTTATAACAAAAAATATAGTTATCGAAAAGTCAGTCAAAAATCTAGGCCACTAAAATTCACTTCTTATATACATTTAACCCCCCATAAATGTCAATTGGGGTTAATTCAAACTGGGATTTTTTTTTTTTTTTTGCTTATGTTTTTAGCTTGGGTTTAAGGGTTTGGAGAACGAACTTTGAGTATCCACATCATGACGCTGCGCTGCTCACCTCTCTCTCTCCCCAGTCTCTCTCTCTCTCTCTCTCTCTCTCTCTCTCTCTCTTTCTCTCCCTCCACCGGTACAAACTAGCCAATCAGGAGGCTCCGATCGCCTCCGCTCTCTCCTGCTGTTCCCTCTCTCTCTCCCCCCTCTCTCTGCCCGCCGCTGCCCGTCCAGCAGAAGCGGTCCTCCTCCTCTCGTATCAGAGACACACACACACACACACACTCACACATTCACACACACACAGTCCAAACCCCCAGAAAAGCCCTGCTGAATCCTCACACCGTCTGTCAGCATGGGGAGCGCTTGTTTTTCCCGGGACGTTTGTTTGTTTATCCTCCTCATAAATACTTGCAGGGTGATGGGGAATGTCGGACTCGCAGGTAAGAGCTCCCCTTTCCTCTGTCTTGCTTTATTGTCAACCATGAAATGCACATTTTGTTGGCTTTACCGGTAAAAATGATGAAACATGAGTGAAAAACTACTTGGAATATTCTAATGATATCAACGGAGATTGCATTTTAATCATAAAGCACACGTGGGCCACTTTAAACGTGCCTTTTGATAGCACAGGAAGTTCCTATATTAATATTATTAGGTAGAGTAGCGTGGCTTTTCATCAACTGTAATATTAGAACAGCAGCGTAAAAATGGCACACTGTATACAACTTGAAACTCAAATTTCTGTTGTATTACAACTGCATTTTATAATTTTCGTATCTCCTACTTCACATGTATTTAAAAATCAGCTAGAAAGTGAGTTGCACCTCACGTTTGAGATGCGCAAATGGTTTTCCAGTCGGTTTAACGGCGTCCCAGACTTCACTGGAACTTGTGTTTCCTGCGCGCAAAGGTCAATTTCAATCGGAAACCGCAGCTTGCTCTCTGGGTTAAACACTCATTTGCTGTGATTTGGAGTGAGAGGGCTGCCTGTTTAAATATTTCACCGTGTGCAAATGGGGCAAATGATTTACCGATGGTGGTTTTTAGAAGTCGACTCAGCCGCTAGAGCATCTTGTCTCCGGGTTTGGTGGAGGTGGAGGCTCTGTGTGTGTGTTAATGTGGGTGGAGAGGGGGTGGTGGTGGCAGCAGGGAGCGTCCAGATCCCAGGAGGAGCCGGTAGGCAGCAGGGGCCATATCGACCAGGCAGCAGCACATTGTTCAGCCTCCCACCTCAGTGAAAGCGTGAAGACCACGAGCCACCATGCAGGAAAAGGCTTTGTCAAAACCAGGGGCACTCATGTATATAAAGCCCACCATTGAAGAGAAGATTAAACATTGTGGCTCCTCTTGCAGCATTTCATCCCATACAAAAGACTTAAACTTGTTGCTGCCTTTACTCCTAAACTCTGTCTCTCTCTCTCGCTTTTCCCTGCAGCTCACTGCTTTTTTTTTTTACCAGGGAAAATATTTATTGTATATTCCGTTTTATCGTTTATTTATTTCCGTTATACAGCTGAGCCGGGCAAAGAGCCAGAAAGAGAGCAGGGGCTGAACCACAGGCCGCTTCCAGCCGGGTCGACTAACTTACTACACACAGTCTATTTATACTCTGATGCAAAGGAGCTCTGGGGTCAAAGCTCTGCTGAACAATACATATGACAGCCAAGAGTGTGTGTGTGTGTGTGTGTGTGTGTGTGTGTGTGTGTGTGTGTGTGTGTGTGTGTGTGTGTGTGTGTGTGTGTGTGTGTGTGTGTGTGTGTGTGTGTGTGTGTGTGTGTGTGTGTGTGTGTGTGTGTGTGTGTGTGTGTGTGTGTGTGTGTGTGTGTGTGTGTGTGTGTGTGTGTGTGTGTGTGTGTGTGTGTGTGTGTGTGTGTGTGTGTGTGTGATGACTTGGCCCTTCACCCTGGGATTTGGGCCCAGATGTGACTGGCTCCTCTATCAATAACCTGATCAATTATAACCGTTAAACCCTCTGTTCTCTGCATCTGAGACCTTGAACAAACCTTGACAAAAAACGTTTATAAATTGAGACATTAAGAGTGTCTTAGGATCTAATAAAGCCATACATATCTGTTTATATAACTTTATATCACACTTTCAAGTTAGGGCAATGCAAGAGACAGATGAACTTAAATAATTGTCAAAATTAGAGCATTTGAATACATCCTGACTAGTCCCCAGTATGAAGCAAGTTCCAAAAAAGCTGAGTACCCCATTTCCCACAATGCAACTCAAACGCAGCTTTCATTAGGCTCGGTTTTAGTGTTTGTATATTAATGGAAAAATGTTGGAGATCCCTCCTGTAGCGGGAACTTTCACAGAAGTAATTTTGAGTACTTTGCCATGGGTTTTTATTTCTGTCTGTCTATCTATGGACACATATTGTAACCTGAAATCAAAAGGAAGGTTAAGTCTGAATACGGGTGTGGTCCGTGTGAGTGTGTTGGAGGTAGCGGTGTAGGAAGTTGCGGATGGGGTTATTCCACTTTTGGCGATGGCTGGTGTGATCCAATTACTAGATAGTCTCTAAGGTTTATAACTCAGAAAAGTTAATTTGTGACCAACTGTCACCTCTTTCATGTCAATGGTTTATAACAATGTCAAGAGGTATTTATTTAGAAGTCCTGAGGAGGTAAAACTACCCAGTAATTCACAAGAGAAAAAAAGATTGGAGGTCTGTTTCATATACAACATTTTTAATTTTGTGTTTTCTGCGTATCTTAGTAATTTAGCATCCTCTGGGGGGTCCATAGCCATAGGATAAGAACAGCTGTTGTAAAATCATTATGCCTTACATCAGTAGAAGGAAAATCATCGTCATTGCATCCTAATATAGGCTTAAAACAAGCTAAATAATTTTTGAAAAGTAAACCGAGTGCAGGACTGTTATCATCTTAGTGCTAATCGATTGCCTCCCTGCAAATTGAAGTGCTATTCGCACACCTCTTGTAATGAGACATCAGTTGAATGGCACACAATCTGTGAACTGTGATACATTTGAATTGAGATGGCTCTTTAATGATGCATTAGGTCAGTACGCACACCGATCTTGATTTGCCATCTGTAGTGTGGCTTGTTGAATCCACTGGGACATATAGGGTATTGACCTCCATGTCTACATGTTTTTACAGATGCAGACGAGTGTGCAGAAGGGTCGGACGACTGCCACATCGACGCCCTCTGCCAGAACACGCCCAAGTCCTACAACTGCATCTGCAAGCCAGGCTACAAGGGAGATGGCAAGCAGTGCGAAGGTGAGTGACCTTTTTCCACTTTAAATGATATTGATAGTCTTCTTCATTTATTTTTCGTGTATTTATTTCCATATACGTCTTGCTTGCTTGTGTACAGCGTTCTTAGTCGTAGGCAAATCTTCATTCAAGGATTCAAGGCTTTTATTGTCATTTGAACATACAGTAGCTACAGTGTAGATATGTCGATGAAAATCTTAGGTCACAGGCTTATTGTACACGTAGTTTTCAACAGTGGATCTAACAAAAAATGCTTTGGCTTTTCAATGAATGCTGATGACAATACTTAAGAAAAGTCACACCTACAAGCGTAGTAGGCTAAAACGAGGAGGGATTTATGTTTCAAAACGCATTGGTTGGGTTTAAAGCAGGGGGCTGCATCCCTCACCTCAGGGAGAAAAAGCGAGCCAGTCCGCGGCCCCGCAATATGGCGTTGTTTGAGCGAGGGTGGCAATAAAGCCCACAAACGGCTGGAGGAAATGGGTATAAGTACCCAATATAAATCTTATCGGAATCAAGGCCAAATAATACTTGATTGGGATCACGTTCATTGAAGTGAAACTTTGATGTTGGATGTGAACTAACATCTGAATCACATCTAGACTGGATCTGGGGACTCTGATGTAACGGCTGGTTATAGACAGCAGTTTCACAGCCCCTACATGCCGCCCCCAGTCGCCCCCCCTAATCTCCTAATTAATGGGGAGGAAGTGGACTAAGCGAGGGTGTCAGGGTGAGACGGGGCAGCACCTGGCTGTGCGTTCACACCTCCAATCACTTCTGCCTCAGAGCACACCACAGCTGGAGCTCCAGCAAATGCACAGATATGCTCTCCCTCTCTGTGTTATGCAGAATCCTAGCTCGCTCGTACAATTATTTACACACGGACACACACATACACACACAAGCACACAGTGTAATCCTGTAATTTTTTTTCCCATGTACTGTGCGCTTCAGTGGTTATCTCAGGACAGATTGCCCTCATATAAATGATGTTACAGTACTATTGCAGTTTTAAAACTTGGATGAAGTGGGGTGTACTTTGTAAGTGGGTGTAATGCCATCACATTCCAATGAAGCAGCCATTAAAGCATGATGTCTAACCTTAAGACAAGGGATTCTTATGATTTGTTTCTGTGCAAAACTATCCAACTCTTTGTTCAAATCCAGGGCTCAAAACCAGATTGTACTTGGAGCCTAAACACAGCTTATCATCTTGGGATAGTTAGGGCCAAAGTGAAACAAAACTTTTTGTAAAGACAGACAACATCATTCAAAACTCCATTGATCTCTGTCAATAACTAAAAACCCAGCATTGGAACATAAGCCACAGTTTGTTGTTTAGACGATAATAATAATACAAACGTCTTCGTTTCTTTCTACGATATCTTTGGCCCTGGTTTGAAAATGTTTACAACTCCCCATGCTTTTTCCTCCTTTGTTCTGTGAACATGATGGAGCTAAAAAACATATACTTGACTCTGGGTCTTCTCGGCTGCTTACCCAAATCGTCACAATTTAGGGGGCAGCATTAGAAAAGGGCATGAGAAAATGTGCTCATATGAAATGTACCCACGTTGCATGGACGCCTTCTTTTAATAACTCCCATTAGCAGGAAGTATAGAAAGAAAATCACAGGAAAACACATTCTTTTAAATGAAATGCTGAATGACAGATTGTAACAATAACAGAAGCAATTACTATATAGGTGACGTCATCACTTCATTTTCCATAAATAACTATGGGTTGATCTCCCCTCTGTGTTATCGTTTTTTTTCTTACCATGTGCGTGCGCGGCTGTCTCACGATGACACCATTTTTGGTCCAACTGACCCCTGGCGTGTAAATGATTATTGATTATGTTATTATCCAGCTTTGTTGTCTTTCACATACAGTGTGTGATTTATTACACTGGACAGACGGACACAGATCTATTGAACTCTGAATAACAACATCTCTGTTCTCTGGTGGAGACGGCAGTGTGTTTGGGCTTTTCAGGAATATAATCTTCCTCCCGTAAAGCTGCTGTCAGAGCGGACCTGTCCTGACTTTTTATTACATCACTTCACCAAGGCCAGCACTTGGATCAGTATGTGTGTTTTTGTGGAAGTGTGTGTGGAAGCTGTAGGCTGCTGTGCTTTGACGGAGCTTGAATGTCAACCGCATTTTATTACATCACCATTCTAAATCCAGCATTTGAATTCATTGCGTGAACTGTGTGTGTGTGTGTGTGTGTGTGTGTGTGTGTGTGTGTGTGTGTGTGTGTGTGTGTGTGTGTGTGTGTGTGTGTGTGTGTGTGTGTGTGTGTGTGTGTGTGTGTGTGTGTGTGTGTGTGTGTGTGTGTGTGTGTGGTGTGTGTGTGTGTGTGTGTGTGGTGTGTGTGTGTGTGTGTGTGTGGTGTGTGTGTGTTGTGTGTGTGGTGTGTGTGTGTGTGTGTGTGTGTGTGTGTGTGTGTGTCAAACATGCTTTACACACACACTCCCCTCCCTTTGCCCCCTGACTGTACGCTGAGATATATTGAACTCCATCCAGTGATGAGGCAACAGCTCGTGACAGGGACATCAAATGAAGACAAATGGTGGTTTGGATTTGACCCCCGACCCTGGTGATTAGATATGGCCGCTGTAATTGGTCGGCTGTGTTTTCCATCAACAGGCATTACGAGCCACTTTGCCGGCCAGCACCATTAGTGGCTATGCTATTCCTGGAAGCACCTGGAAGCAGCTCTCTCTCCCTCAAGTCTTCTCTGCTTCTTTATCATCAGCGTCATTCCTTATCAGCAAACACTCACTCAACCGTCTAGTCAAACACACCGTGGGAGAAATTGGATAAAACTGAAGGATCGTCATATACTTTTGATTCCATAATCCTCACGATTACATTGGCTCAGAATGGTATGATCCATCCACACTGTTATCTCTTATTTGTCCTCTTATCAGACCTTTCAGTCCAGAGCACCTGCAGGTATTCAGAGACCTCCAGATGCACCCGTCATACTCCTTGAAAACAAAATAAAACTAGCCTAAACTGCCACATAAATCTACTCAACAGTGGGTTAAATCAGTATATTATTCTAAGTAGTGTTTGTACGTCTATCCAGACAGAGGCTTTTAAGACAATTGAGACGGAATACTATTCATCTGGCCATCGATTCTCTGCCAATTAACCAGGACCGGGTCACAATGGAGCTCTCTTCAGAGGTTTTGGTTCCTTACAGTATCTCTAATGTTAAGCCCAACCATTTTACGGTAGGGTTATTCCATTGCGCCGGGGCGACCCGGTGGAATACAGCGGTGGACTGGCCATCTGTGTGTTCTGGAGAATCACAGAACGGCCGGTCGTCAGCGGGCCGTTGACGACCGGCTCGGTTCGCTGACGGCCGGCACCGCCCTTAATCTTTTTAAACGGCATCATGTAAGTTGCGCTGACAGGCGACAGAGGTCCACAGTTGCCCCGCAGCGAGGCTCCCCCGCCCTAAAGGTCATGGTCTGTTAAACCCAACCGAATCATATCATCTGCAAAGAGCCAAGATGCAATTTTGAGTTCCCTAAAGTGGACACTATCCTCCTAAGGCTGCCCCTTGTGATCCTGTCTCAAAAGTACAAAAAGTACTAATACTAATCGGTAACAATAAAAAACGAAGTGCCTCTAGTTAATGGTTCAATCCCTGGCCCCCTCTGACTGTCTGAACACAGAGGCTTTTTTCAAATTCTTCATCTTAATCTCATCTGATTCTTTCAATACTCGGATATCTTTGCATCTACATGGCTATTTGGAATGAAGCTAAATAAAGTGATGAGCTAGAGTGATGTGAAAGTGGTCGGCAACTGCTGCCTTGTTCTTTTATGTATGTATCATAACAGCTTGTCGATTCACAGCCCTTAGATTTGTCTGGGTTTCCTTTTTGCAAGAATTGAATGAGGCTTTTCAGATGTCAAAACAATACACAGTGTTTTTAATGTTGTATTGCAAGGTATTATAGTTCTGGAAAGTTATTGGGGCACCATACAGCGGTCTAATTGAAATAAGTGAGACAACTGCTGTATCCATCTACAAAGGCAAACACTCGATATTAAAAGAACAGGCTCAGGGACTGATTGGGATCATGTCCAGTTCTTACTTTCCTAATTAAAACAGCATTTTCTTAGATATTTCCCAGAGTAAGTGATGCAGCTTTGTTTGCAGTTTGTTTGGTCTCTGGGAAGAACATTGCAGGACCAGCACAGCAATGAGAGCCGATCACTATAGAAGATGCCAAAGAAAGCAGCAATGTGAAGTTGTTTGACTCTTCACTTACAAAACGAAAGCTAAATGTGCTGGGTTAAGCCAAAAAACAGATGTACATTTGCCAAAATTGTAAAGCATTTTGTGGTCAAAATATCAACTGTCATCTTGTGACTTGGTAAATATGGAGTCCTTCAAATGTACAGACATCATTTTTTTACTGTCGGTTTTCTGGAGAAAGCCACAAGGACATGGATCGTGTTGATGACCACATTATTAGCGTGCACTTTGGAGGTTCTGGAGGGATGTGGCCTGTGTGGCTCCACATTGACAAAACTCTGGCTCGCTCATGTGCTTTTGTAACGGCTCGGATTCGAGACCCGGTGACCAAGGGAGACGACCTGTGCTCTCAGCCTCTGCTACACGTCGGCACTACAAATTAGCAGCTTGCAGGCCGCTTTGTTCTGCCAGGAGCCGGCTGTCCAGTAGTCCTGCAGGACTCAGCGGGATCAACATCCCAACTACAGTGGGTTTCAACCACAACGGTTTGTTCCACCATGGGTTTGATGGGTGCTCCTATCAGGACTGTGTCCCCAGAGGCGTCATTTTCTCAAGTGAATGTGTTTCTTTGAATGCTTCTTGCCACTGAAATCGGATCTGCCGTTTATGAACGCTGCCCTTTCTGTAGACTTTTCCACGAGCTGATACTGCCGGCTCGTTATGGAAAAATTTGAACTTTTATCCCTGGGCTGTCAAATGAAGAGTATGTGGGAGGAGCT